GTTAATTATTGAAACTGTCCTACCAATTTGGTTTGAAACTATCTCATTGCTATTAGTTTCTCAATAAAATTATGGGGAAAAAATAAATATAAAGTTAATAAAGTCTAAACTGAAAGGAAAGGTAGATCAAATTTGGCCTGTGCATTATGAAATAAGATTCCTAAAATTTGAAGTTACTGCAATAGTTTAATTTATTGAGTTTTTTAAAGGCTCGAAACTGTTCTCCTCTTCCTATCATTCTGTCTTTAAACTTTAATTTGGTCCCTATTTATGTAAATGACGATTGCAAGTCTCATGGAATACCCTGAAATAAATCCTGTGCAATCAAGATTTCTTTATGAATGTAATACAGGGTACACAGAGTAGAAGAGACTTGCAGTCCAGCAGAGGTTTGGGTGGCTCTTGGAGGTCAGTGATGCATGCGTCGTCCTATGTCATCACTTGATACTGTTAGACAGTGTCCTGTTACTAGCTGCATAGTGCCCATTTTGACTGTAGACTATTATGTTCATGGTATGCATTGAATCAAAGCCAGGCCGTTAGCTGATGGTAGGTTTTAGGATACAAAGCAACAGTTTCCTTTTCCTTTCCTGTGAGGGAAACAGTTCGGTTTTCTTAGAAGAAAGCGTCCCTCCAGCTAGTGCTAATTGGAGCGGAGGGGCGGGTGGGTCGCAATTGACCAGAGCTGTTCTCCTGCTCAGTTCCAGGTCGTTTGTTTTGAGGTAATGCTTTTGTTGTTCAGCGGGTGTCCCACCCCTTGGAGGCTCAGTGCTGTGAACTGTGGTCTGTGCCAGGCAGTGAGCATGCCGTCATGGCGGCTCCTCCTGCCTTCCGTCTTGCTCTCCGCATGTTACGGGCACGTGAGGCCAGCTGGGCAGCCTGAGTCCTGCCTGCCTGCCGGGGCTGCTGGAGGTGCTTCTCCTTGTGGTCCTGCATCTCCTCTGCGAGTGCAGAGTTCTGGTGCAGCGTGTCGGTGTGTTCTGTGCAGCCCTTTCCCTCAGGCAGCCTGCAGGGTGCCCTCTGCCCTTGGCTCAGTGTGCAGAGTGGGTGCACGACAGTTTTGGTGGCTCTGTGGTCAACACCAGGGAGGAGAGCACAGTAGGCAAACACCTTCACTTTAACGTGATTGATGGTCAGCCTAGAGCAGAGTTCGGTGTTGATGGTTGGAGACTTCCTGAGGGGCACGGCCCCATGCCAGCACTGGAGGGTGACACCGCTGTGGGTGAGGCCTCAGTGAGGGCACCGTGGTCCTCGGGAGTGCATGCGCTCAGCCAAATGAGTGCTGACAGTTTGAATTAAGCACAGCTCTCTCTCATGTATCGAGCTGTAGGATGTTGCTGCCTGACTAAAGTCCTGGGCTTTCTACTGTAGTCTCAAGCTTTGAAAATGACTTAAAGGGTTCCTACTGCATGCTGTTAATTGAATCAAGATTGAAGAATTTGGAAAATTCTTAGAATATTTATGTTATAATGGTTAAGGTTTTTATAAATGCTGTTTAATGTAGGCCTAGTGAATAAAAGTTTTCAAATCATGTGTTACACTTGTTTGTTTTTTTGGTAGGCAAATTAAGGAAATTAAATATCTTGGAACATTTAATTTATTTAAGAGAAATGGTTTGAGCTGTTTTGTTGGCTGATCATTTACATAGAATCAATTAATGTGATTATCTCATACATCATCCAGTCATTAGAGTTGGTCCCCATGGACACTCTTCCTGCACTGCAGGAGGAAGCTCTGCAGGCTGAGCTGCCTGAGTGGTGCTCAGAGGAGCAGGTTGCTGTCCTGATCCTGGGCTGGGTGGGGCTTAGCCTCCCTGGGGCCCCTCCTGCGCTGCCCACTGCTCCAGCCTCAGCAGAGCTGCCTCAGTGCACCAGTGACGGGAAAGGGCAGAGTGGTTGTGGCTCTCCCTCCAGGCAGTGTCGTGGGGCAGCTCCCACGCTGTACCTTGCCTACCAGGTCCTCTACTGGGGACATGGCACTCAACCAGTGCCCTGGCCCGTGGTCACTCCACACTGGTACCAGCATTGGTTGGTTGGTTTTGTTTCTAGAAGAAATGGAATAGGCTAAAGTCATATTAGTATGTTTTTGTGTTTTCGTCTACCAAAATTTTACTGATAACTAGAAATTTCTGATTTGTCTTGGAAACAAGTAGTGATTGCAACCTCCAGTGCTAGACTGGATGCTGAAAGTACTTTTTCCTGCTGGCATAGTCCTGTATATAGAAGCAGACTATATTAAAAAAAAAAAAAAAAAAAAAAGCAGACTATAGGAAGCTAGACTCTTATCAATAAAATTATGGGGAAAAAAAAACAGTACTTTTCACAACAACAACAAAAAAAGGAAGCTAGACTCAGGTCCAGCCATGTACAGGAGCTCCTCTGCGCATAGCCCTTGGAGGGGCTTCCACCGTGAGCACAGCTAAGCATTTCCCGTAGAGGACATCTTTCCCTTTGCTGTTTTTACAAAACCTATTCCTACTCATGACTGGCAATCACTTTGTGAAATATTCTTTCACAAAAAATGCTGTCTTAAAATTGGTGTGGTGGTGCACATCTGTAATCCCAGTGCCTGGAGGGCGGCTTAGTGACTTGGCGAGGTGCTGTCTCACAGTCAGGATTTAGAAACGACAAAGATAGAGCTCAGTGTAAAGGCCTTGGGTTCAGTCCCCAGTGTCTAAGAGTCTGGATACTAGGGCGGGGGAGATGGCTCAGTGGAATAAGCGCTTCTCTGGCAAGTGCAAGGGCCTGAGTTCAATCCCCAGTTCCACAAAAAATAAAAAAAGAGTCCGGATGCTCATAAAGGTGGGAAGTGGCAGGGTTGGGTGGGACATGCTCGCACTCCAGATCGTGCATGGCAGATGCAGGAAGAGTACCTCAAACTTGGTACCAACCTGGGGCGAGTTCAAGGCTCTCCTGACCTATGACACTGTCTGAAGAAAGTTGAAAAATAAAAAGAGCATTTCTAAAAAGTAAAGGTAAGAAATATCCAAATACATTTTTGTAAGAGCCAGTGAGATAGCTCAGTGGACTAAATGCCTCCTTGGGCAGGCTCGGGGACTGGAGTTCCCTGCCCCTGGGCCCACTGAGCTGACCCCCAAGACTGGGCGTGGTGACACATGCCTGTAATCTCAGTGCTGGGGATGCTGAAAACAGGAGGATCACTGTGAGTCCAAGCAGCGTAGTGAGACCTTACACCAAATGTGTGTGCGTGTGCGTGCGCATGTGTGTGGCATTTATAATTAGCTAATTAGGCTTCTTTTGCTATTTTATCTGGAACTTAGATTGGATATATTTTGTAATCATATTAACCAAAATAGATACAAATATACTTACTGAATAGAATTATCAGTGAAAAGCTGTCCTTCATGTAGGAATAGTAGTTGATATCGTAGAGGGCCATTTCTGAGTAGACCAGAGCCCAGGCTTTGTAGGTAGGAGGCCGATTTATGTCCTTCACCGTTGTGGTGTTAACCCTGTGACTTCAACCTGAGTAGAATAATGTAAGCTATTATATCCTGTGGGGATTTTTCTGCAAATTATCAAGAGCCTTGATGTAATCCTGTAAGATTCTAGCACACATCCCATTGGTGACAACATCATTGGTGGTGTTATTTTCCCTGGGTGCAGTGGGAGCAAACGGTAGCCACAGTGTGGGTGTGATTGTCTCTGGTCCCACAGAGGTGTGCTTATTATCTGTCACAGAGACCCGCGCTGCTGTGCCTGCAGGTGATCGGGGCAGAGCCTGTCTGGTGCCTGCACGTGGACAGAGAACTAGTGCCCCAACATGGTGACTGGGCATGAGGGCCTGCAGCACCAGGGTCCTGGGGAAGATGGTCCGTTCTAGTAGCGCCCTTTGGCCCTAATCACACTCCTCTGCTCTGGGGTGTTGCAGGCGCTCTTCCTCAAGGCACTGGGGATGGTTTCCTCCCAGCTCAGCTTTCTTTCTGCACCCTGTGTTCCCTGGGGGAAATCTTAGCCTGCCTTCTCATTGCTTTTTATTATCACGCCTGTTGAGCCTTTGTTGAAAATGTCCCTAGCAGCTGTAGCAGTCTCAGGGGCCTTCCCTAAGACCTGGAAGGCAATTTATTTTATTGCTACCTTTTAACGTCTTTCCTCTCCTGTCTCCCTTTGGATAGAGCCTGACTTGAAAAAGCGGATCCGTGTGCACTTACTCAACGCCCATGGCCTGGATGAAGCTGGCATCGATGGTGGCGGTATTTTCAGAGAATTTTTAAACGAGCTCTTGAAGTCAGGATTTAACCCCAACCAGGGGTTCTTTAAGACTACTAACGAAGGGCTTCTGTACCCCAGCCCTGCTGCTCAGATGCTCGTGGGAGACTCTTTCACCAGGCATTACTACTTCCTGGGCAGAATGCTGGGAAAGGTAAAGTCACCTCTCTGTAAAAATAGTCTCAACGTGTGCTGTTCCTTTGTGTAGGTGCCTAATTGTTAAGGTCGCTTTGGGGACCCTTAAATAGTATTTATTTATGTGGTAACTACATCTCCTCCTTAAATGTCATGTACATAGTAACTGCATACATAAAAGTGGTTGCTGTGTTTACAAAGCATTACAAAAGTCATTGCAGTTTTAGGATCGTGCTGTATTTTAAGACTTCTCTCGGTTACTTTTTAGCAGTGAACGTGAATGAGTTAGTATTTTGTTTTGAAAGTAAGTAATTTTAAAGTGCTGTGAGATGGAAGACCATATCAAGTACAGTTTAAGTATGTTCTACGCGTTGTACGACTTGTTTGGATCGCACATTTTCGCGGGAGGCCTGGCGTTGCTGCAGAGCTAGGACGCTCCATCCACTGAGCCTGTTCAGACCAGCGTGGCTTTCAGGGAAAGGGTGCTGGTCACAGATGTGACAGGCAGAGATTTCAGGTTCAAGCTGGGACCCAGACACAGGTGCTTGCCCATCCTAGCCAGGGGCATGCCCTCTGTCGGGTCACAGAGGTCTCCAAGGTCACATTTATCCCAAAAAAAGTGTTACTGACTATCTTTATTTTTTTTTATTTTTTATTTTTTTAAAAATTTATTTATTTATTTATTTACTGTGTGTGTGTGTGTGTGTGTGTGTGTGGCCAGCTCAGCCCACCAGGGGGCGGGGCTGGCTGGCATGTGGTGCTGGGGATTGAACCGCGGTCCCTGTGCTTTTACTTAGCTTAGCTTGTTCTAAGTAGGTGCTTTACACCACTGAGCCATCTCACCAGCCCTACTGACTATCTTTAATTGGCTGCTAATACAAGATTTTGTATCGGGTATGTTTGTTTTACTTTGTTCTTTACTTTTTTTTGGTTTTGTTTTTTTTTTAATTTTTTAAATTTTTTTTAAGTTCTTTACATTTTGGGGCTGGTGAGATGGCTCAGTGGTCTAAAGCACCTACTTAGAACAAGCTTAGCAAAGCATCAGGGACCCGGTTCAATCCCCCAGCACCACATGCCAGCCAGCCCCGCCCCCTGGTGGGCTGAGCTGGCCACACACACACACACACACACACGCATAAATTAATTAATTAATTAATTAAGTTCTTTACATTTTAAGTAAATGTAGACAGTTGCTAATTCAGAACGTCGTGGCTAAGCAATTATTCCAGTGAAACCCAGAACCAGCACTTACCCCAAAACTATTGAAACTGAGGCAAGAATCACCTGCCATTCCCACAGGCTTGTGGCACTTGTAGGTGAGATGCTTGGTTCACTGGGGAGGTGTCTCAGGGCCCTTGGTATTCAGGCTCCTGGCTTGTAGGACTCACCAGGACGACCAAGATCTGCTAACCCCATGCATTGTCTCAGTGTCAGAACCCCAAATAGCTTAGCGGATTAAAACACCTGCTTAGGCAGGAGACACAGGGGCTGGGAGGTCAATCCCCTGGCCTGCCATGCTGGCCCCGCCCCCGGTGTGCAGGTGTGCTGAGACAGCAATTGAGACTGGGCATGGTGGTGCACACCTGTAATGCCAGCACTTGGGAGGCTGTAAACAGGAGGATCCCTACAAGTCTGATCTATGCAGTGAGACCCTGTAAACCCTGTCCTAAATACAAAAAAAGAACCCAGTTAGAGCACTGTGCAGTCTGAGAAGAAGGAGCCGACCACACTCAAGTCCATGGCAGAGGGCCACATCTGTCTTGTCCTCCACCTCCACACTGCCTGCATGGCACCAAGACCTGGTTCTGCCATGTAGCCTGGGCCACTTCCACTCATACATGGCTATGTGAGTGAACATACATTTATCTGGGGTTGCTTCTTTGCAGGGCAAAAGAAATGACTCCTGTCGGCACTCAGAAGTGTCACTGCCAGGTGTGCACAGCTTGCCCACCGCTAAGGCTGTTGCCCAGTGGCTTTAGTCTCATGTTATTGCTGGGTCTTCAGTTTGTTCTGTGGGCAGGTAAAGGCCTTTTATGTTCTGGTGAATCCTTTAGGGCATTTTTTTTTTAATTAATTAAAAAAAAATTTTTTTTTTATTTGTGTGTGTGTGTGTGGCCAGCTCAGCCCACCAGGGGGCGGGGCTGGCTGGCATGTGGTGCTGGGGGATTGAACCGCGGTCCCTGTGCTTTGCTGAGCTTGTTCTAAGTAGGTGCTTTAGACCACTGAGCCATCTCACCAGCCCCTTTAGGGCATTTTGAGTGGTCTGGGGATTCGTTTTTTTATTTCCCCTCTTTAAAACAGTAGAAGACAGGTACCTGATACTTGGGGTCACCTCTCGAGCACTTTTTAGAAGCAGCCTGGGTTATGTGGCAAGGACCATAAGGAGAGTGTTTTAGGGTTTTTATAGTTTGTTGATTTGCGCAGGGTCTCACTACACAGCTCGGACTCATAGTGATCTTCCTGGTTTTTGCCTCCCTAGTGCTAGGATTACAGGCGTGCGCCACCATGCCCAGACTCCATTGCCAGCTCAGCATGCGCAGGGGTTGGGCCAGCGGCACACAGTGCCAGGGATTGAACCCTGGCCCTGTGCTTACCTAAGCAAGCGCTTAGTCCTCTGAACTGTCTCACAAGCCCTCCTGTGTATTTTCTGACTCTTTGTGGGAGGGCTCTGCCAGCTGCCAGCATGTGGCCCTGTACTCCGTCATGAAAGGTTTAAACATCATACTGTGGGTGGCGGGGAGTGAGGGCCGTGAGCGCGTGACCGGTAGAGCACCTGCATTGGGGAGGGGCATGAGTGAGAGAGGACGAGGTCCCAGGTGAAGAGGCAGGGGTCCGACTCCGTGATGAAGGCCTCGGGTGAGCGTGGCTGCGCTCCTTGTGCTGCAGGCAGAGTCGCGTCGAAGGCCTGCGCGTCTGCAGCCCAGCCTGGTGGCTTCTGTCTTAGAGTGCTGCGTTGCCCTGATTCTTCTGGCCAGGGCTAGTGATGCATTGTCTTGGGCACTTTTTACTTGTTGGGGGACAAAACACCTGACACCTAAAACGAAGGAAGGAAAGGTGTATTTAACTCACAGCTTGTGGAAGTTTCAGGCCATACTCGGCACAGGGCAGAGAGCAGCACTCATGGCAGCAGAAAACAGTGACGAGCAAAGGGAGGGGCAGCCACTGTGGCTTCTGGCCAGCCTCTCTCCTCTCCTTATATTATAAGCAAACTACCCTGGGGCTGGGGGTGTGGAACTCACAGGGTGTCAAAGTGCCCTCCTCTTGCACAGGATGAGGGTGTTTACAAGCTAAGAACCCTGGCTCCCTGCTGAGTCACTTAATTAAACTTCTTAACATCTCAAGTTGACAATGTATCAACCAGTACACACATGGACTTTGGGGGCAAGTTCCATCACTCAGCATCCTGTTTTCAGGGCTCTTCCACTGGGGCATTTCTCAGTGCTCAGTCTCTTGTTGCACTGTGTTGTCTGCTCTTGAGTTGTCCTTGGGCCATTTTCATCACAGTGCTGTGCTACAGCGCACTCACTTTGGGGTGAGGAGGAGGCAGCCAAAGCAGTGAGAAAATGAGAAAGAGAACCAGTGGCCTGTGCAGGTGCTGCTTCCGGGGGTGGGGGGGTGGGGGTCTGCGAGGAGGAGCAAGGGGCGAGGGGCCTGCAGGTCAAGAGACGTCTGGTTTGACTGAGTTTCAGTCCTGCCCGCTGCAGCTCAGGCATCAGGCAGGGCAAGGGAGTACAGAAAACAGCGAGGTAGGTAGAGGGATGAGGCAGGAAGAGCACAGACCAGGCCTTGGGGGTGGCTTGGGTGGAGGTGGAGGGGTGGAGCAGGAGTTGAGGAGCACCGGCTGTTTGTGTTGGGCTGTCCACCGGGGTCATCCATTGGCAGACACTTGGGTTGTTTTCACTTCTGTTGCTCTTGGGCGGAGGGCCAGGAATGCAGGTGCAGGACCTCACAGTGACTGCGTCTACAGCTTCTGGCTGCCACTACCATCCCCTCCTCATCACAGCCCCTGTGTGCTTCGTGTGGTTTTGAGCCTCATCCCCCTGGCAACCTTTTGTGTTAATTGCCCTCATGTGTTCTGTGTCTTTCATGAGGAAATGCCAAGTTGTGCCCTGTGTCAGAAACTGGGCTGACTTCATAAATCTGCTGAGTAATCTAGATCTGAGGCCCTTAGCAGATAAAGGAATGTGAATATTTTCTCCATGTACGGGTTGTCTTCCATGATTGTATTCTTTGAAGAACAAGATTTCTAGCTGGTGGGTGTGATGCAATCCCAACATTCAGGAGGCTGAGGCTGGAGGACTTTCAAATTTAAGACATGCCTGAGCTTCGTAGTAAGATCCTGTCTTAAAAAAAAGAAAAGTGAGGAAAGGGCCGGGGAGATGGCTCAGTAAATAAGCACTTCCCTGGCAAGCACAAGGGCCTGAGTTCAATCCCTGGTTCCAAAAAAAACACACACACAACAAGTAGGAAAAAAATCTAAGCAATAGCCATACTCAAAAAAAAAAGAAGAGTGACATCTCCCATTCCTGTTTTTTCTGTTATCTGTATTGTCAGGGTTTTCTCTAGGAAACCTAAGTTACAAAGATTTGTACCTGTCATTCCCCATTATCTGCATCCCATTGAGACACTGCTCTGGGTCCAGTTGTTGCCCATTTATGCAGATTCCAGATGTTGCTACTTGGACTTGAAGCATTGTTGGAGAGTAACAGTGGGCTACAGCATGGCAGCACAGGGTACCCTCAAGCCCTCACTGTGGTGACTGACTCCAGCCGGGAATGTGATAGATGCCTGTAATTTTCTTACCTGGAGACATAATGTGTCTTAGCCCATTTCTCTTAATAGAATAAAATGTCAGAGGCAGGTCACTTTAGGGGAAAAAAAGAGGTTTTTGGAGCTCACTGCTCTGTGGGCGCCTGCATTAGCAGGGCTGTGGAACAGGCCTGAGGATGGACCACATCACAGCTGCAGGAACATGGAGGGCCCGGCCGTCGTGGAGTGAGGCAGGAAGCTGGAGACCCA